ATGAAGATGTAAAAGAAGACATTAGCAGCATCTTCATTTTATTTTTTTTTTTACATTTTAAATGTATTTTCTCTTAACAATTGTTTGTATTCAAAAAGTGAAAGTAAGGTTTAGGCATGATCATTTGAATCACCTTCATATGAAGATCTAGAATAAAATATTTGTAATATGGCTCTAATACACTTTTAAGGTACTATCAAAGCTTATTTTATCTATCTTGTAAAATGATTATGTTTTCTTGTGTGGCTAGCTTGAAGAGTTGGAAAAAGCTTTTGCCCAAACTCATTACCCAGACGTCTTCACCCGAGAAGACCTTGCCATGAAAATCAGTCTTACTGAGGCTCGAGTACAGGTGAGAAATTAATAGCATAAATGGAATCTGTTAGTGGATTTTAACTATTTGTAAAACATACATATAGCTCCTGATATTGAAATTGTGTCAAAAATTTACTTTTGAGCGAACACAGCTCCCTGTTAACTGCCCCGTACTTGTTTTGATATTGCAACAGGCTGAAACATGTTTTTCTGGTAAGACATATGAGCAACAAAATTCTGTGTTAAGTGACAGATAGATCTTTCTTCTAATAGCTCAATGAGCTAACACACTTACTAACTGACGAATCTCCATGTTTTCTGATGAACTTTTTTATCTGATATTACAATGGGATAACAAATTCAGCAAATTCTGAAACATATCAAATACATCTCCATGTTAACTGACATGTTTTTCTTCAGATCTCACAATGAGCTGATACATTATTCTTTTCTGAGACACATGAAAGAGAGAATCTCGAGATCGAATGGCACATTTTCAGGCTGATATCACAGTGGGCTAACACATAATTTTTTTCTGATATACATGAAAAATATCTTGACGTTGACTAAGACATTTTCTATCTGTTAACAATGATTTAACACATTTTTACTCATTGATAAACTACACAGGGCTGACACAGTTTGTTTCGTTATGCCGAGTGGATTGATACGCTTCACAAATAATATGTTGGGTGACATATTGTCGTTTCTACTAAGTAACTTACATATATCTAAAACACATTTAGATTGACACGATTAGTTGGCTGCAGTAAACATAAACTGAAGCATTTTTATTTTTCTATGATACATATATTACCAAATACTGAAACAATAAACATATTATGGTTGAAATATCTCATTTTTCCTTCTTTTTTTAAACGTCACTAATACGGATTAATTCAATTTTCATAAAATACGTAGATTGGCCCATTTACACTTTCAAGTCCAGTAAGTAAATAAACTACTAATAAATCACACGATCTAACACGTGTATGTTCTGAGAGAACAAATGCCACGTTTTTCTTATTTCTTAGTAATGTAGACAAATATATTATTAAAGGAAACGTAAACTGACCCTTACTGACTCATTGGCAGAGATACCTCCAAATTTCTATATCACTTACACAATGAATTTCATGTACGACACTCTGATAAATCGCCCATTTACTAGAACCATAAAACATTGATTGTTGAACACGCTGACTAATACATTTCCCATGTTCTATAAGAAATGAATTAACACACTTCTTGAAGGATAGATTGTATAATGGATCGTTCTTCTTATAACATCTGCATGAACTAACACGCTTCTGAAGAAGGGTTTAGGCCGAAAACCTTGTGTTAAATTAAAGTTTTCCTAGATTTTATTATCATCGTATCTAATGTTTTTTTTTTCTTTCTTAAACTGTGTAAGATCCGTTAGCTAAACATATTGTTTTTATTATAACACCTAGAATAACATATTTCTTGTAGAATGCACTAACTAATGTGCAATCCTTCTTATGACACTAACGTGGACTAAAACACTTCTTACAGAATACACTAGATAATGCATCAGTCTTATTATGAAGTTTACATGTATTAACAATACTAACAATAGCTAATATATCGTTCTTATTATGACATCCAAAATAACACACTTATTATAAGATACACTAGGTAGTGCATCGTTTTCCTTTTGAAACTTGGATAGAAACGCATTTTTATAAGACGTTTTTTTATTCCTATAACATGTGGACTAAAACACTCTTTTTGACCGTCTACAGTTTACTTGTATGACTTACTGTTTCATACATTTTTGTTTTCCTATAACTGATGGATTAACAATTCTTCTGACCTCACTGCCCCACCTATAAAACCATGAAAACATAAACGTACACAATTAGATTGAAAATAAATGAAATCACCCATACGGAGCATACAAATAGATTCAGAGTGTACCGTATATGTTAAGCCACCGTAGCAGTAAGTGGCTAGTATTTTGTTACTAAATGAAAATTCTATTGAGAGTACAAAAGCTTTGTCATAAATACAAATGTTTATCTTTACATATGCACATATACCTAACAGTTAATATTAGCCAGATGTATTAACCATCACAACTTTGTTCTTTTATCTCGTGTCCTAAATATTTTTATCAATTTATGTAAACAATTAACTGTCTAAAACAATGTGTCTTATAGCAAGTACTTTCTTATATAAAACGTAAGTCACACATTCCACTTCTAACAATTCTTTAAGAGCCATTAAGTGTTTAATAATCTCGGTTTCTAATGTATTTTAAAATACCTTTCTTATAACAAGATTGAAATGAAAATCTCGTATCAAATGTTATCGCTACAAGAAACATTTACAGTGCTGTCACAAACCCCATTAACAGCTGAATACAATCGAAGGAATTACACTATTAATGTTAACGTTTCTGTAGAAAATAAACATCAGCAATTAAATATTATTTTTAAATATCTTTTCATCCAAATTAGATCTAGCCCTAATTATCTATTGTTAATCATACTCGATGGATTGCAATTTAGAATCAACAACATTAATGAGTCAAGTGATTACAATTGCTTAGAATAATATAAAACATCAGTGTTCTTTCTCAATTTAGTGATTAGTATTGTAAGTAATTGATTTATATAGAAGTATGAAAACTCCTCGCGGTATATATGTTGTTGGTTTCACGGGGAAGGCGGGACTGCTTGTGTGTACGTCGTTCACCATGCCGATATAATAGTTTGAGTTGTTGAAAAGTATTTTGCTAGAAAGTGGTGAGGAACTAGCCCTTTAGTCAGTTGGAAGAGAAATCGCCTAGCCCTAACATATGACAGGTCTCGGGCTCAAGTCTGAGCTGTAAAGAAAAAAAAAATACCACAAATATCTATTCAAGACTGGCATAAATATTTCTAGAAGTACCCCTACTGGAAAGCTTCTTCATATGAGTATAACAGTTTTCAATGTAACTCATGAAAGCTTCATAACGATCAGAGCTTGGGAAGTAGCAAGAGGAAAACTGAAATGGTTTTCAGAGTCTTGACAATGATGAAGTAGCGTGTTTTAAAATACCTTCAGTGTGATCTGAAAAACTCTCGAAAGTTTGATGGTGATCAGTGGTAGGAGAGTTGGAGTTTTATTCTTTTTTGTCACGGAAACATATACAGAAAGGAGCTGCTTTACAGAATAGATTAAATAAAATACAATAATTCACCGACATTTCCAATTCTGAATAATGTTTCGAGAATAAACACATGAAAACAAAGGAGTTACCTCAATTTCACCATCAGCTGCTCCAGGAATAACGATTTCTCTAGCAACTGTGTCTGTTTTTTGTTTGAGAAATTTCGCGCAAAGCAACTCGAGGGCTATCTGTGCTAGTCGCCCCAAATTTAGAAGTCATATATTAAAGAGAAGGCAGCTAGTCTATACTAGCCACCGCTAACTTCTATACTACTCTTTTACCAACGAAAAGTGAGAGTGACCCTCACATTATAACTCCCCCATGGCTGAAAATGCGGAGCATGTTCGGTGACGGGATTCGAGCGCTCTAACAAACAGGCCATACAACCGTATTTACAGGTGAGTAAAAAGTCTGGGCACCCCCTCAAATAAAGATAATGTACTTGACAGAAAGAATTTACTGCACATTGACATATCTCATATTTACACAAACTAACAAAGAGTTTGATTAATAATCCAAAATGTCTGTCTGTTGGCCTTCATTTTCATGACATACGATGATACGTCTCCATGTGTGGTGTGACACCCTCCTTAGCATATTAGGGGTGACCTTAATTAAATTTTCAACAATTTTTGTTCCAAAGCTTCAGTTGTTTAACAACGTTCCTTCACCACAATCTGTTTGATAAAGCTTCACAGTGAATTATCACATGAGGGGTGCCCAGGCTTTTTAGCCCACCCTGTACTTGCTCATCCCATAGAGAAGTCATATAGTGTATTTTCATATTTGTGTGTATATTTTGCAGGAGGATTTGAAGTAGTAAAAAATAAATGACATATTTTTTACAATAAAGAAATTGATATATATATAATAGCATGTTTCTCAGTAATATAATAAATAATATATTGCTAATTATCCACGACCAACTTCATTTTATTTTACAGTCACTGAGTGGATATAACTTAATACGACAACCCACGTAACAATTTTGATATTATTGCGGCTTTCAGTAAAGGTGCGCTCTCAGTAAACAACATAATTTGATATTCAATTTCTCTGTTGCTGGTAGAGTTCATTTTTAGACAATTTTGCTTTGTTCTTTTAAATCTATGTTCTTCTTCATTGCTTAATAATAAATTTTAATATCTAAGTAACACACTGGATAAAGGAATTAAATGATTGATTGTACTATGTTTTCCATACCAGTCTCCTTAAAGTGCTTATATTTCATTAGTCGGTATTTCTCACTACCAGTCAGTGGTATGGAATAAAAAAGATTTTTCCCTATTGGGACAAGTTTATAAGGAACATATCAGAACAGGAAATTGGTGTTTTCACATTACCACATAAGAAGTATAAAATACTACTATAACGACTTGGGGGCCTTGAGATATTCTTAGTGAGGCTTTCGCTTACTAAACACCAGACCATTTTCAAACCACGTAAGTGGCTAGATGGCGCTACAAGGTTGTAACGATCTCAAAAAGCTTAAAAACCGAGCATCGACGAGTACATGTGAATTTACGTCCAATATTTCGAAGCATGAATCGTTTGTCACGTGCGAAGTCTATACCTTTTTAATCAGCTGTTGATTATTTTATTTGATTTGCCTATCAGTAAATGTGTAAAGAGGTTTATTTTTACTGAATATTACTTCTCTTTCTGACTTGTATACTTGATCTATTTCCTCCAAAATAGGTTTTCCTAAATATGATCTTACGATCAGTAGATACTCACGACACTCGAAAAGTAAAGATTGTATTATTACAGGTTCTCACCACATCTATTAACACCAGAGAAGGAGGGTTAACTTAGTAATTAAATAGAAGCATACAGACATGTGTGTTTTTTCTCGCCTA